TATATATGATGTATATATAAGTGTGGGTAACCACGTGCTAAGGTGCACATATGACAACTTTAGGGAGTAGGTTCTCTCTTTCCATCTTATTGAGGCAAGGTTTGTCTTGTGTCTGTGACTCTAGGTATTCCAGGCTAGCTCATCCGAGAGCTTCCTGGAAAGTCTGCCTCTCATTTTGGCATAGGAGTGCTGGTATTACAGGTTTGAGCCAACCACATCCTGCTTTTTGTGGGTTTTGGCATTGGATTCAAGTCATCAGGTTTGCACGAGGAGATTACAGGTCTCTTATACCTGGCCACTGGTGACTGGTATCTATATAATAAGTCAATCCTTACCGTGTACCTTCTGACAACCTTCTGTAACCTTTCCCTAACTATCTACTGTCAGTTCATTACGTAAATTGAAAATTTAAAAACTTTTGAGGGAAAAGTAAATGTAAAATTTCTCTACAAATACTGAAAAACTTTGTTTTGCTGAATTTTTTGATTGTTGTTGGTATTGTCTTTTTGAGACAGTGTCTTCCTATAGCTCCAGCTGACTAGGAACTATATGCAGTTGACTGCTGGCCTTGATCTCACAGAGATCCACCTGCCTCTGCCTCCCAAGTGCTGGGATTGAAGGCGTGTGCCACCATACTTAGCTTTTTTGCTGAAAATTTTAAGCTGTGTATTGAGGTAAATAAATTTAGCTGAAACATAATTCTATACATAGAAATATAAGAGAAACAAGGCTGCTGGAGAGATGACTCGGTGGTTAAGAGCACTGGCTGCTCTTGCAGAGGACTTGGATTTGATTCCCAGCACCCACATGGCAGCTAACAACCTTCTGTATCTCCAGTTCAGGGAATCTAATGCCCTTTTCTGACATCTGCAGGCACTGCATGACATGGGTACATACATGCAGGCAATACACTCATACACATAAAATAAAAATAAGTACTTTTTAGAAAGAAAGAAAGAGTTGCTAGTTCTATTTAGTTGACCTGAAGTTAGGCTGTTTAAGAAGTGTGAATTCTCAAAATGGATTGACCTTACTATTTCATGTTTAGATGTAACAAAAGAGACTCTAAACAGATTAATACTATAATTGTTCATGTGAATTCTCAAAATGGATTGACCTTACTATTTCATGTTTAGATGTAACAAAAGAGACTCTAAACAGATTAATACTATAATTGTTCATGTGAATTCTCAAAATGGATTGACCTTACTATTTCATGTTTAAATGTAACAAAAGAGACTCTAAACAGATTAATATTATAATTGTTCAGTTTTTCCTAATTTTTTTAGGGAAAATAAAAATTGTTTAAACTTTACCCAGTAGAGAGTGATTCTGCCTCACAAAAATTGTTTTATCATAAATTATGGGTATTTGTTTCATTTCACTGGGTAGATTTTTCTCTCCAAAACTAGCTCTTTAATATGGAAAAACAACTTGTCTGCTGCCTATCTCCCTTCCTTTTTGACCTTCCCTCCCTCCCCTGAGACAGTCTCTTTATGTTGCCAGTACTCCATCTTCCTCCTCAGATTCCAGAGTGATGGAAATACAGTCATGTACCACCATATTCTGCTGAAAACAGCTAATCTTACGTATTTATCTAATGTTTCTTTTTGAATTCACAGAAATGAAAAAAAAGCACAGTGCGTTGCCAGGAGCTGCAGATGTAACTTTTAGCTATAGTAATTGTCAGAATAGCCCACCAGTAAGGCTCCTACATGATCAAGTAAACAATTCTATTCAAAATGGAAGAGAATATGACTTACCCAATCAGGTAAGGTGTTACTTTACACTGATGCTTAGGAATGTAGTGTGCTACCTGAAAGGTTTCAGAAGATCAGAAGATACAAAATGCTTTGGTAAGCATCAGTTGTATTGATCAATCCTAATTCAGAAACTGCAAAAGTCAAAAGGACTTAGTTGATATCTTAACAATTGTTTTAGCAAAATTAGATTCAGATATCTTTAGATTTATTTTGTGTGTGTGTGTGTGTGTGTGTGTGTGTGTGTGTGTGTGTGTGTGTCAGAAAGAGAGAGAGAATATCTGCGTGTATGTATGTGTGCCATGTGCTGTGTGCATGCCTGGTGCCCATAGAGGTCAGTAAAGAGTTTTCTGTTCCCTGGAACTGAAGTTACAGGCAGTTGTGAGCTGCCTGATATGAGTGCTTAAAACTAAAACTGAGTCCTCTGCAAGAGCAGCAAGTGCTTTAAAGTTTAATTTTAATTATGTGTATATGTATCTACATGTTGATTTGTGCATGTGAGTGTAGGTGTCAGTGGAGGCCAGGGGTATCCGATTCCCCTGACTAGAGTTATAGGCAAGTGTGAAATGTCTGATACGGGTGCTGGGAACCAAACCCAGGTCCTCTGCAAGAGCAGCTAATACTCGTAACTGCTGAACCATCTCTCAAGCCTCCTTTATTTTGTTTTTTAAATTACAATTATTTATTTGTGTGTTGGGAGATCGTGGTGTGTGTATGTGTTTGGGCATACATGTACCACTGCTGAGGTCAGAAGACAACTTGCCTAGGTTAATTTTCCTATCATGTGGATCCTCTGGATCACACTCAAGTTGTCAGGCTTGGCTTTTATCTGTAGAGCCATTTTTCCTGTCCTCACAGCTTTGTTATAAAAAATGAATACTTATTTTCCATTTTTCATTGAAATAGTACAGGCAACAAAAACAAAATTTAGCTGTTAGAGTAAAGCTTTAGATAAAGGATATTTTTAAAAGTACTTGAAAAGCCACAAATATGGGCTGGAGAAATGACTTAGTAGTTATAAGTGCTTCCTGTTCTTCCAGAGGACCTGAGTTCAGCTCCCAGCACCCATGTAAGATGACTCACAACCACATGTAACTCTAGCTTCAGGGAATCTGATGCTCTCTTACCTCTATGGTATCTCCACACATGAGGCATACACAAGACACATACATACACACACACACACACACACATACACATATACTTTTTAAAAAGAAAAAGGGAAACCACAAATTTTATTTCAATAAAAAAAATTTTTTTTGTAGAATAGTGTATCCATAGGAGGTGTTTCTAAATTTACAGTTGGAACAGGAGTTTCTGAATGCCTTCACTAATGAAATTTGTAGAATGGCAAATACCTTTAAGTTTGTGTGCTTGATGCATGCTATGAAAATGCTTGAGATCATGGTTATTGTTGTTAAAAGCAAATTGTTTATCTTAAAGGAATTAATTGGGAAAAAAGACTACAAAAAATTGCCTTCAAAGAAACTTGAAAATTGTGAAGGACTTAATGAAAAGATAATTAAGAGTCAGAAGCAAGGTAATACATCTTTATGGTTTTTGTAACAATGAGGATGTTACTATTTGGAATACTTAAAAATGGTCTTACAAATTTCCTATTATAAAATGAAAAATTATATTAATGGCTTAAAGTATTAGTAAAATATATAATGAAATAATTTGTTACTTTAAATACCATATTACTTACAGGTTTGCCTTTAATGTGGTCACTAAGTAATTTTATTTCAATTAAAAAATAAGGAGTGCCGGGCGTGGTGGTGCATGCCTTTAATCCCAGCACTCAGGAGGCAGAGGAAGGTGGATCTCTGTGAGTTCAAGGCTAGCCTGGTCTACATAGTGAGTTCCAGGACAGTTGGGGCTACAGAGAGACCCTGTCTCAAAAACACAAAAAAAAGGAATTAGAGAAAAAAATACTGCCTGCATATGTGTGTGTGTGTAAGTATACTCATTTCGTGCAATGCCTGCAGAGTCAGAAGAGGGCATTGGATCCCCTGGAACTGGAACTACAGATGTTAGCCACCATGTAGGTGCTGGGAATTGAACCCAGGTCTTCTGCAAGAGCAGCCACCTCTCCAGCCCCTCAACTGAAGTTTGTGTTCCAAAATTTAAAGTGCTTTTCTCTAAATATTAGCAAATCAAGATTTCATGTTATATAAATCCAGCAGTGTATATTCTGTATTTATGTTTATAACTGCAAAGAAAGGGAAATGAAGAACACCTACAAATATTCATGAAAGTGGAGCAGTACAACATTGCTGAGACTACCAAATTCATACAAGTTAAAGTACCTAGAATAGACTGAATCTTTATTCATATTATTAATAAAATAATTTAAAATAGTCTCACTAGAAATATTGTGTTTAAAATCAGGGTGTCCAAATTTTTTAAAGTTTTTTAATTGATTGCTTGATTGGATTTATATAAGGAATTAGAAGAAAATCCTTTGTAAATATGTAATGTCCATGAAAAGTCTCATGGAAACTTGATTAGTATCACTTCTCCGTAAATTGTAATTTAGTTGTTTTTTCCGTCACCATTATTGTCTGTTAACATTTCATTTTGTTGTTCATCTTTTATGGCCTAATATGTGTACATAGTTGTAGTATATCATTATGATGGTTTGTGTGATAAATTGCAATTAATATATTTCCATCATTAGAATGAAATAATTAAAGTTGGAATTTCAGGGGGCTGAAGAGATGGCTCAGTGGTTAAGAGCACTAACTGCTGTTGCAGAGGACCTGGGTTTGAATCCCAGCACCTACATGGTGGCTAACAACCGTCTGTAACTCTAGTTCCAAGGGATCTGATGCCCTCTTCTCACCTCCATAAGCACTTTACAGCATAGGTGCACTTACACACATGCAAGCATAATACTCATCCACATAAAATAAAAATTTTTTAAAATGATCTAAAAATGACTAAAATGTAGTACACTAAAATGGCATTTTTAAAATTTTTTTATTATTTTTATTTTATGTGTATGTGTATATTGCCTGCATGTAGGTAAGTGTACCTGTGTCGTGCAATGCCCATGGAGGACAGAAGAGGCCGTTGGATGCCCTGGAACTGGAGGTATGGACAGTTGTTAGCTGCCATGTGGGTGCTGGGATTTGAACCCAGGTCTTCTGCAAGAATAACTGTGTTGTAACTACTGAGCCATCTCTGTAGCCCCATAAAATGGTATTTTTTAAAAAAGTATTCTGAAAAAAAAAAAGTACTCTGGAAACTTAATGGTTGAAGAGTTTTCAGTTGACGCAATGTGAGGTCTAAGCAAGTGGTAATTTGTTTTGTAGATGAGTAAATGGAAATTTTCAAGGAGAGTAGACATCAGTGAATAGTAGACTCAAGCAAATTTGAGAAAGAAGTGGGAAACAGAGAAATAACCATAGTTTGTGTTCATACTGGAGGTTAGTGAAAGATTGGAACTCTATTGAATGCCAAGTAGAAAAACTTACATAAATACCAGTAAGGTCTAGGAAGTTACTTGTAGGGTTGTATAATAACTGTAAGTTATATTTGCAAGACAATGATCTACAAAGACCTGTGCTTCATGTAACTTGTGGAAAAAAATTGTCTATTTTGTGAAAAAAATTTTTCTGTATTTATGTTTATAACTAATATGTGATTTTTGTTTTTGGTTTTGTTCAATGAAACAAAGACACAACTGAAGAATCAGATGTATCCATTGATATCCTAACCTCACTGGAACAGCATCCCTCAGATAAAGGAAGAAAATACCTGCCTTTCAGTTCAAAAGAAGCTTATATTGTAGTAACACCACTTAAAACTAAAAAAATGATAGAGCAAAGATGCATGGAGTATAATCTCTCCACTGCTGCTGTTAAAGCAATAACAAATTTCTCAGCACCAAACCATCAAGAAGAAAGTGAGTCAGATGCAGATGAAATTGTAAGTCCCACCACTAAGTCTAGAGGGGCTTTAGGAAATACATTTGAACATAACATATCTTCTAAAAGTAATACCAAAGAAGATTGTAATGACCGTGATTTACTCAGTATCAATCAGAAAGGTAAAATGCCTAGTCCTAAAATTGAGCAAATGGTCACCAAGAACTTTAAGAAAAATACCAAGTTGTTATCAAAATTGAAAAAAACTGAAAATCCAGTAGCTATGTCATCTCATAATCATCAGTTGTCATCAGATTTGTCAAGTGAAGAAAGTAAAACAAATAAAGAAATTAGAAGTAAGTCTGGGGTTAATAAAAGCAGAGCAAGAAGTAACAAAGAAAGGGTAGTTCACGTGAGGAAAAACACAAGCAACACCACAAAAGATATCCTACTGATTTCAGAGTCTGAAAGTGAAAGTGAATTTTATATAGCCAAGAAAGCTAGATCTTCTGCTAAAGAAACTCTTCCAAAATCTGGTGTTAGGAAGAATTTCCCAATTATTGAGGTAAAGGGATCTGATAAAACTGTTACCCAACCTGTAGAACATCTACCTGGCCTAATTGATGATGAAGCATGGAATGATCAAGAATTACAGAAACTTCATTGGTAAGTGTTTGTTATAAGACAGCAGAAGGGGGCTGATTTAATAAGTTTTTTAAATGTTGATGTTAATAGGTTTTCTAAAGACTGTGCGATTGTGTCTGTTGCTATTGATAAATCATATCTCATAAGAGTAGAATTTAAGTACAAACTTGCTAAGCAGTTTTAGTAGTATGGTAGTATGGAAACCATAGCAATGAAGCATGAATGGGAAGATACAGGTACAACAACCCATGTAGACAAATCAAGACAATATGACCAAGATAAGGACTAGAAAAATTCACGTATAATATAAAGGAGTATAAAGATACGGGAAGATACTTCATTGCTTACTTGTATGATGGCTGATTCCAGGGTCTAGTGGTATGCTGATGGAAATGGTGAGGTGAAAAGAAAGGAAGGAGGATGTGATTGATAAAGGAGAGGGTAATTTAGGAATATGTTACAGTGAGTGTTCCGTTTATTGTTTCTCCTTCCAATTGCATAACTTTGGCATACATTTCAAATTGGTTTTCTTGAAAACTCTTCCTAAGGCATTTCTGTCACATTATATTATTCCATTTCCTAAATGTTCCTCCTTTATCTTATTATCAGGCAAATCTTTCTTATTCCCCCAAATTAGTTGTTTTTTACTCCTTTTTTGCTATGGTCTCTCTCTTAGTGACCTTTTGTCCTCCCCAGATTAGAATTTTTCTCCCTGTACAGTGATTTTCAAATCTATTTCTGCCCCTAATTCTTGGATTTGTATTTAGATTTGCTGGATATTATTGTGTGTAAGTCTTACCTATAAGTTTGACTTAATGTGGTAAAATTTGAAAAGCTTATTTTGTGTTGATATTATTCTATTTCTCGTGCTGCTGCTCACTTTGCCTGTCCATTTTTATTCCTGGAAATATAATTCTCTCCATGAAATAGAACTAAAGTCTTCGCCATTGACTTTTAAAAAAAAAATTCTAGTTGCCAAAGGGTCATTCTATCAGTGATCTGTTTTTTGGTTTTATTTTAATTAATTTTTTAAAAATATTTTTATTAGTTTTATTTTATGTGTACGAGTATATTGCCTGCATGTGAGTGCACCCATGCCATGCAGTGCCACGGAGGTCAGAAGAGGGCTTTGGATGCCCCTGGAACTGGAGTTAAGGATGGTTTATAGCCACCATGTGGGTGCTGGGAATTGAACCTGGGTCCTCTGCAAGAGCAGTCAGTGCTCTTAACTGCTGAGCCATCTCTCCAGCCCCTTAATTTAATTTTTAAGAAATCATTTTATGGCCGGCCATGGTGGCGCATGCCTTTAGTCCCACACACAGAGCTTTGATTACATATTAAAATTTCCCTTGTTAATGTATCTGAAATAACCTAGAGGCATTTGATAGTTACTAGCCATTTATGATTAAACGCATTATTTTTATTATGAAAAATAGTTCTTTTAGACAACCTAGACTTGCAAATAGCTACAGGGTAATAGAGAACATGATAAAGTTGAAATGACGCTCGCTGTTAAACAGGTTATCTATCCCTAACCTGAAAATCAAAAATGTTCCAAATGCTGAACCTTTTTGAGCTCAAACAAACAACAGTAGCAGATGAATTCCATACTTCACATGATGAGTCACAGTCAAAACATAGGTGCACTAAAAGTAACTGTATAAAATTATGTTCTAGAGGTGGATGTAATAGCTTCATGCTAGAGTGTCAAAACCCCACAGTTATTCCTGGTCTGTGTATATAAGGAATGTAGGAAGCATAAATGGATTTCATGTTCAGACTTGATCCCATCCTTAAGATAACTCATTATAGATAGATAGATAGATAGATAGATAGATAGATAGATAGATAGATAGATAGATAGAGATAGATATAGACATAGACATAGATATAGATATAGATATAGATAGATACACACACACACAGATATCTCATAATCTGAAACACTTCTGTTTTCAAGCATTTCAGATAAAGGATATTCAACCTGTACAATTTTTAGGGTAATTATTGAATTAAATAGTTATCTGACTAAACTGTCAGCCACGACACAAAAAGGCTTTATGGGGGTTAGAGAGTGGAAATGCTATACCAGGTTTTAAGCAGTGACTTACAAATGAATTTTTAGAATTGATATGTTGAATTGGAAACTATTTATACTTAGTTTCTTACTTTTTGAGACATGGTATTACTGTCCTCAGACTTGAGATCCTCCCGCTTCTGCTTGTCTAGTGCTGGGATTATAGGTGTATACTAGCAAGCCTGTCTTCATTTTTACTATTAGTACTATCAAAACATTAATTGTATTAGTGGGATTTACTGATATTTCCATATATGCATATATTGTGCATTGATCATGTCTATCCACCTTCCTTGCTTCTTCCTACCTCTAACCATAAAACTTTAGGATAGAGTTTATAATCTGGATTATGTAATATGGGAGCGCGGGTTTTCGCAGAGCGCCAGCTGCTGGCTGGCGCCTGTCTCTCGCGCACCGCTGGGGCAGGTCCCGCACCGCGTTGCTGAGGGTCTCCACGGCTGCTGGATGCTGGTGACTCTACTGGTCACTGCGCTTCCAGGCGTGTTCCGTTCCAAGCTACTGGGCACTCCCTCTAGGTTTGAGACCCTTCAGCCGCCGGGTCACGAGGGGAGGTGCGGGAACGGCGAAAGCAGGGTCTTCGCGAGTCATTGTTTACGAAGGGACAGCCCCCTCCGGGACAGCCCCCTCCGGAGAGACTGAATAAGAGACTGGTACAGCTCAGCTCTTGATGCAGCTCCAGTTTATTAAGGGGAAAATCAGGATATTTATAGTGTGAAGGCAGTGGCAAAAGCCTTAGTTGATAGGTGCTTTGTAGGATGCCCCATTTACATGTGGTGGTGGGCTTCTGCCAGGCTGCCAGACATTGCCTGATTATCACAGAGGAAAACCTGGCAGTTCCTATGCCAGAGGCCATGTATCTGTGAGGGCTACTTCAAAGATGAGTCAGGAAGAGAGTAGGGAGGCGCCCGCTGAGAAAGGGAGTCCTTCCATTCGCACCGAGCTGGCATGCGGCTATCTGGACATGGAAAGACTACAACCCAAAACAGCAGGAGTCCCCAACAATGTAAGAACTAGGAGTTTAATCTTTTGGCATACTTAGCACTAGTAATTCTTGAAAGTCAGTATATAGAACTTAATTTATGTGAGAATTCTCCAAAAAAAAATCAAGTCATTGAAGAGTTGGACTTGTGAAAAAATGTTGAAAGATGGGAAAAATGTTCAGATTTAATAGAAATAGTTGGAACACATCTATTAGATATATAGTTATATCTTCATACTATATTGTAATAAGAAAGTTATGGAACAGAATGAATTAGTGAGGGTTTTTTTTTTTCCAAACATCTAGAATGATTATAAAACCAAAATGGAGCTGGGCGTAGTGGCACTTGCCTTTAATCCTGGCACTTGGGAGGCAGAGGCAGGCGGATCTCTGAGTTCAAGGCCAGCCTGGTTTACGTAGTGAGTTCCAGGACAGCTGGGGCTACAGGGAGACCCTGTCTCAAAAAGACCAAAAAAAAAAAAAAACCAGAACAGCTCAGTAAGTTTCATTGACTCAATAGTACGCTTTTGGGAGATTAATTTTGTTAATTTTGTGTATTGTATTGGTCTTCCATAGTGCTTTTACATCTCTTCCAAAGCACAAACCTGGTTTCTGGTCAGACATAGCTTTGGCTGTAGGATCTCGAACTGCTGAGGAATGCCAGAGCAAGTACATGGAAGATTCTCAAGGCAAAGGATCCCGAAAACATGTCTCTAAGAAAAAGCAGGCCAATTCCAAAGTCCGAAATGGTAACCTTTATCATTGTTTGCTCAGTGTACATTTCTAATCATTCACCAATTATATTTATCCATAAGTCAGGTATCAATTGTTTTTTTCAAATGTTAAAATTTAGAACTTTAACCATTGTAGTTAATTCCATCAATAGTTTCATACCAGTTGAACTGATTCCAGGAAATTGAAATTGGATAGATATTCAATGTCTGAATGATTCATTCTGAGGGTCTAATGGCCTAATTTAACTTGGGCATTTTTAGGGTCCCCCTAGTAATTTATTAAAAAAGCAGTAAATTTAGCATTTATAATCTGAGGTTACACACTCCTGTCCACGGCTTCTGGTAAAAGGTTTTTTATGTCAGAATAATAATTTTTAGAGAATATCTAATATCCTTACCATAATCAAAATCAATAAATCAAGCATATCTCACAGAGTAACTTGTATGTTTTTCCTTTTTTAAACTTAAACACAGAGCCTTGTACATTCCAAGCAAGTACTTTGCCCAAGCCCACTTAACTTTTTTATTTTTTAAGCTGGGTTTTTTTTGTTTTATTTTCTTTTATTTATTGAGACAGGGTCTCACTGTGTAGCCCTAGCTGGAATTCACTAGCTATATAGATGAGCATGGCCTCAAACTTAAAGAGATCTACCTGTCTCTGCCTCATAAGTGTTGAAATTAAAGTATGTGCCACCACCCTGCTTGGTGGTGCACGCCTTTAATCCCAGGACTTGGGAGGCAGAGGCACACAGATCTCTGTGAGTTTGAGGCCAGCCCAGTCTATGTAATGAGTTCCAGGCTAGCTGGGGCTACAAGGAAACCCTGTCTCAAAAAACACCAAAAAGAAAAAAAAAAAGGTATGTACCACCATGCCTGGCCTTGTTTGTTTGGTTTTTTTTTTTTTTTTTTTGAGACAGAGTCTCACTGTGTAGCCCAGGCTGGCCTTGAAGTTATTGCAGTCTTTCTGCAGCCTCCAGAATGTGGAGATTACAGGGATGAGCCACCATACTCAATATTTTTAACATACTCTCTAGTCTTTGTGTACTCCCTAGGAGCATCATGTGAGCTAATCAAAGATAATCAAGTGAGCTTCTCAATGTAGGAAGAATTATTTGTGAGGTCTGTATCACCAGACCCAGCTAAGAATCTACCTTTTCTGGGTGGAGAGATGGCTCAGCGGTTAAGAGCACTTACTGCTTTTCCAGAGGACCCAGGTTCAACCCTAGCACCTACCTAGCGGCTAAAACCCATCCAGTTCCAGGGTACCTGATGCCCTCTTTCGTAGGCATCAAGCACATACATGGTACACTTACAGGCAGACAGAACACTCGTACACATAAAATAATAATAAATATTTTTATTAACTACCTTTTCATCTTGAATGTATGACTTGACAGCTTTATGTCTGCTTGTTCCCAGCAATAAGTCTGTAGAGATCAAGAACCTGAGACATAAAAATTACTACAGAGCACCTAGTGACTCTTTTTATTTATTTATATGAGGGGTAGAGATCTTATTGTTTTGTATAGGGTGGGTTCAACTGAGCCTCCCAAATAGCTGAGAATATAGGCCTATGCCAAGGTACCAGGTTTCTAAAGCTACTACCCTTTCTGTCTGAACTGTGCCTTGTAAGCTTAGTTGGGGTATTGTCTTTGTTTCAACTGTGGCTTGCTTTGTCTTTGGGTATAAAAGTTTTAGATAGGAAGTTGCCTCTTATTTGTGGTATTTTTTTTTAATTATTTAAAATTTTTATTATATTTGTTTGTGTGTGTATATATGTACATGCCAAGCATGAGAGTGGCGGTCAGAGAACAACTTTCAGAAAGTGGTTTTTTTTTTTTTGGTCTTTTTGAGACAGGGTCTCCCCTGTAGCTCCAGCTGTCCTGGATCTACTTGCTTCTGCCTTCCCTAGTGCTAGGATTAAAGGCGTGCGCCACCACACCCGGCTAGAAATTGGTTCTTTTCTACCATGTGGGTCCCAGGTATTGAATTCAGGTTGTCAGACTTGGAAGCAGATGCATTTACAAACTGAGTTATCATTCTGGCCTACCCCTGGTCTTTCTAAGAAAAGACTTAGGGATTAAGCCATTTTTTGAAATAAACACACCTTTTTTTTTTTTTTTAATCTGGGTCACACTGTGTAGCCCTGACTGGGCTGGAACTTGCTATGTAGATGGGGCTTGCCTGAAACTCACAGAGATCCACCTGACTCTGCCTTCCTATAAACACACATTAAATGAGGGATGGTGGAGAGAGGAGAGAAAGGAGACTTATTAGTTCCCTAGGAAACTTAAAATAACAAAGGCTCTTAGTTTTACAAAGCAGGTACTAAGTCCTTATGTAAATGTTTTATTGACTCCTAGGTGAGAAAGACAATACAGATGAGAAACAGATTAAGATAACTGCTAAAGTGGGAACTCTCAAAAGGAAGCAACAAATGAGGGATCTTCTGGAACAGTTGCCAAAAGATGACCATGATGATTTTTTCAGTACAACACCTTTGCGGAAACAAAGAGTACTGGTAAGTATGTCAGATGCATGAAATCTGCATTTTCTTTACATTGACTTTGATGTTTTCCATTTTTATGTACCATTTATGTTACTGCTAATATTTAGATCAAGGATCTGTAACCTCTAGAAATATGACTAAACTATAGGAAGTGATCTGCTGATAATATGCCATTATCAGTTTCTAAAGTTTTCTCTTGAGTGGTTCAAAGAGAATGCTTACGTAAGTATAAAATGAAGAAAGGAGATTCCAAGATAGGTGGCACTCATTTTCTTCTTCCACAAGGAATAAGAAAACAACAGACAACTGCATTTTTTTTGAAAGCCTAGACTTACAGCTGAATATTTGGAGAACAGAGTTGGAATTGATACTGCTCTAGGAGACAGACATATCTGTGGTTCTTCATCCCTGGGACCTTACAGATTCCACTGCAATAAAACAAAAGGCTCAGCCTCACAAATCAAGCTAGACCTAGCAGTGCAAGTGTTACTGAAGCACTCAGACCTGTACAATGCTCTGCACTACATGGGGCAGATGGTTCATCTAAGCTTCCCATATAACGAGATATGTGCAACACAGTTAACCCACATGATACTGAGAGAGAAGCTATATAAGACTAGGTAGAATTGATGCTAGCCTCCCAAAACTAATAAAAGATTAGCAAAATGGCAGGATCTAAAACCAACATATATGGGGGCTAGGTAGAATGTTTGCCTAGCATGTGCCAGGCCTGGGTTCAAGCTCCAGGATTAGAAAACCATTTTTATTAAAAATTGCATTTTTGGAGCTTGAAAGATAGCAGTTAAGAACACTGGCTGTTCTTGGAGAAGACCCGGGTTCGAATCCCAGCACCCACATAGCAGCTAACAACTGTCTGTAACTCCAGTTCCAGGGGATCTGACAGCCTCTTCTGTCCTCCTCGGGCATTGCATGACACAGGTGCACTTACGTACACACAGGCAGTACATGCATACACATAAATAAAAAATAATTTTTAAAAAAATTGCATTTTCATATACCCACAATGATCTGGCTGAAAAGAAATTTTAAAAAGCATTTCTATTTGCATTATTCAAGAACAGAAAACAGTGGAGTAAGTTTAACCAAAGAAGTGACAGATCTCTACAATGAAAATAATTTTTTTTAAAAATTTTATGTGTATGCATGTATTGCCTGCATGTAAGTAAGTGCACCTGTGTCGTGCAATGCCCATGGAGGACAGAAGAGGCTGTCAGATCCCCTGGGACTGGAGTTAAGGACAGTTGTTAGCTGCCATGTGGGTGCTGGGATTCGAAACTGAGTCTTCTGCAAGAACCAGTGTTCTCTCTCCAGCCCAAAAATAATTTTTTTTAAAAAAGTACTGAATTTTTCTGTGGCCTAAGTCCACTTTTTGTATGACTTTTTTCCCCTTTGAGACAGGGTCTTTCTATGTAATCTCAGGCTAGCCACAAACTCCATCCTCCTGCCTCAGCTTTCTGAGTCTTAGGATGGCAGCCATGTCTGGCTACTTTCTCTGATTTTTCTATAAAGGTCAATAAGGATTGCTTATTGGGAATAATATATGGACAGAAGTTTAATGCTCATTTATTTCCTAATAAGTACCAATATAATAGTGAGTGAATTCTATTTGTTTTGTTTTATGTATTCCTAATATCGGCATCCTGTGGGATAAATCTAGTCCCTCTCCTACTTTAGATAAAGAAAAAGCTTTTTAATGAAAAACCTTTATTGTACATATGTGTATGCATGTGTGTGCATGAATACTCATGCCATATCACAGTATGTAGAGCTCAGAAGACAATTTTATGGAGATAATTCTGTCCTTCCACCTTTATTCGAGTTCGATGCATTGAATATAGGTCACCTTGCTTTGCATATCTCACCGGCTCCTTTCACCTGTTTTTACAAACAAAATTTCATTTGAACACAACCATGCCCAATTGTTTTCATATTGTACCTGTCACAGTTTTCATACTTCAGTAACAGGGGTGAATAATTGGGATAGAGACTGTATGGACCATAAAGTCTAAATGATTAATTGACTAAGAAAATACTTGTCTACCTCTGCTCTTTATAGGCTTTAGAAATAAGTGTAATTGCTTCCATTTTGCACAAGAGAAAATTGGTTTTATAGTGAATATTGTCTTCTACAGTTCTTAATATCTAATTTGAAAAGTTGTCAAGGGTAAAACAATGTAGCTCACCAAAAATCATTTTGTGATAAGAAAACTTACTTTTATGAGTACCTGGTGAAAATATTTATTTTCTAGTTGCCAAGTTTTCAGTACAGTCAAGATGATGATTTTCTATCAAATATGGACAAAAATCCAGCAAGTCCATCATCAGTTATCTTTCCGTTGGCAAATACTCCACAGTGTCAACATGTCAGTCCTGGTATGCTAGCATCTATAAAAAGGTAAATGCTCTGATATGTTAATTTTAATATGTCAAAAAACATTGAAACATTTTGTGAATTGATAAACATGCAGTAATGAGAAGTTATTATTTTAAAAATGAAGAATGAATAGTTCCTAAAAGTTAAGAATGGATAGTTTCAGTAAGTTAGGTCATATTTTATAATAAATTCTAAGTGGAAATTGAGAAATTTTTTTTTTTTTCTGGTCTTTTTGACACAGGATCTCCCTGTAGCCCCAGCTATCCTGGAACTCACTTATGTAGACCAGACTGGCCTTGAACTCACAGAGCTCCGCCTGCCTCTGCCTTCTAAGTGCTGGGATTAAAAAGGCGTGCATTAGAATTACAAAATAGCTAGTCAAATATTGTGGAATTATAATCTTAGCTTAAGAAAGTTTTTCAATTGAAAGGCAAAATCCAGAAGTCACTAATGGAAAGATTAATAATTTTGTTTTACCTGCTACCAGCCACCATAAACAATGTCAGGACAATCTTAGAGCTTGTTTGAAGGGTCTAGCAGAGGAGCGCAGCTACTCGTATACCCTTGACCAAAGACCAGTCCTCTACTGGGGAAAGTCATCCTCTTCCACCAAGTGTGCAGCTTTGGGAGGAATGTACGTGGATCATTGAGGGAGGAAAGGGACACCCACCTAGCCAGCCAGATCAGCCGAATCAACCCTGGTGATTAATGGGGTGACAGATGTCACCACCAGATGGCCCTCACATCTGAGAAAAAAATACAATACAATGGTTAAAACTACAGCCCAGTGATTAAGAGAGAGAGACAGCGCACTGCTCTTGTAAAGGACCAGAATTTCTCTGTTCTCTACACCCACATCAGGCAACTCACAACTGCCTATAACTAGTTCCAGGAGATCTGATGCCTTCTTCTGACTTCTGTGCGCACGGCACTTAATTGAACACATACACATGTAATTAAGAAAAATCTTTTGGGGCTGGAGAGATGGCTCAGAGGTTAAGAACACTGGTTGTTCTTGCAGAAGACCCAGTTTTGAATCCCAGCACCCACATGGCAGCTAAAAATTGTCTGTAACTCCAGTCCCAGGGGATCCAATACCCTCTTCTGACCTCCGCAGGCATTGCACTACACAGATACACTTACCTACGTGCAGGCAATATACATATACACATAAAAATAATAAATGTCTGTAACTCCAGTTCCAGGGGATCCGACGGCCTCTTCTGTCCTCCACCGGCATTGCACGACACGGGTGCACTTACCTACATGCAGGCAATATACTCATACACATAAAAAAAAAAAAAGAAAGAAAGAAAAATCTTTTAAAAACAATGTAATACAACTTTAATACAAATGTTCATGTCCCTAAAATGTTGAACACTACTGCAAATTAACAAGAAGACTGTAAACTTTTTCATGTCTTGTTAGTGAAAGAATAAATCAGTATAATCTCTGCAGCTACAGTTTGTCAGCATTTATTAACATACACATGAGCTTTGACCCAGGAATCTTACCCTAGAATTATGTGCAACTAATTCATTATATTTTTGTTTATAGTGGCAAAACTCAAATGACCATCTGTAGAAAGTAATTCTGATATATATCCTAATATACATCATAGAAACAAGAAACTTTTTATTAATATGATAAAATTTCCATGATATAAAGAGAAAAAACAACTAGATGCAATGAATAATGTGCTGTTTCTGTAAAGAGAGGCCATATATGTGTGTAGATATATAAGAAGCTACTAGGGTTTTGGTTTTGCTTTGTTCTTTTGAGCCTGGCCTTGAACTGGTGACAGTCCTCTTGCCTTAGCCTCCCAAATTCTGGTATTACAGGTATAAGCCACTGCACCTTACAGTTTTCTTTTTTAAAATTTAAATTATGGTATGTGAATGCATGATGTATATATATGTGTGGGTTCATGTATGAAAGTCAGAGAACTTTGTGAAGCTGGTTTCTCCTTCCACCTTTATATGGTTCTCTGGGATCAAACTGCCTTTACCTGCTGAATCATCTTGCTGGCCCACTGTTTCATTTTTAAATACAGGGTCTTTCTTCCATGCTTTCCTGGAACTTGCTATATAGCCCAGGCCAGCTCTGAATTCTTTAATCCTTCTGTATAAGCCTTGTAATTGCTGTAAATTTGGGTATGTGTATATACTTATATATATGTGCATATAAATAATTATATGCAAGTGCTTTTGTTATGTATATGAAAGTTTATGTAAGAAATTGAAAATTTGGTGATCTTGTTTAGGGAAAAGAACTAAGGTATCATGGGACTAATGATAGACTTGAATTTTGAATCAGGTGGATGTAGAACTATTTAAAATGTAAGTAAATAAGTTTACACTAAAAAAAATAAGAGTGGCCAATGGCCATATCTTAGAGAAAAACAGAAAGTTATAAGAATGAGGCCTGAAAATAAGCTGTCACATTTGTTATTAAAAGGCCAACACTTAACCATGTGTAATGACACATGCCTTTAATCCCAGCACTTGGGAGACAGGTAGGCAGATCTCTGTGATTGACACCAGCCTGGTATACATAGTGAATTCCAGGCTAGCTGGGTTTACAGGGAGACACTGTTTCAAAAAAGAAAAAAAAAAAAAAAAAAAGAATAGGAAAAAGGCCAACACTTCTTAATAAAAATAATTATATACTGTCAAAGGCAGACTCCCAAGTGATGAATCCTCCGTGGTGGAATTTTATTTTGCACATACTGGAGAAAAATAATATTTCCCTCGCAATTTATAAAGTATTTGTTATAGTATTTCATGGAGGTAAAATCATGCAGAATATAATTTTGGACAGTGTTTGGTAAATACTTTAGCCAAATCATCAAAAGTCCCAAAATAATGAATTTTATTAGTTGGTTCTAAGGAAATAACAAACCTAGACAAGAATACATATAGGAACAAAAATGCTGATCATAAACCATTAATCTTGTCATTTTGAAAATGGCCTCAACTTTTAAAAATAAGGAAATAGTAAATTTTATAATATGTAATATATCCTTAACAATTTTTGGTGAGTTTAAAAAATATTTTATGTTTATGTGTATGAGTGTTTTGCATTTTGTAAGTAAATACGCCTCATTCATGTAGTGCCCTTGAGGGCCAGAAGAGGGCAACAGATCCCTAGAGCTGGAGTTTGTGGTTTAAAGCTGCCGTGTGTGTCCTGGGAACCAAACCCAGGTCCTCTGGAAGAACAGCAAGTGCCAAGTCATCTCCCTAGTCCTTTTTAAAATTTGTTTGTTTGTTTGTTTGTTTGACACAGGGGCTCACTATGTAGTCCTGGCTCACCTGGAACTCACAATTTAGATCAGGCTGGCCTTAAACTCACAGATACCCACCAGCCCCGGCCCCCCGAGTGCTGGGATTAATGCCATGTGCCACCATGCCTAGCTCACTTTAACAATTTTAAATGACACGGAATAATGTATACTGGATAGTACCTTGTGTGGTGTGTATGTGTTTGAATATTGTGTGCACATGAGTGTGTGGGTGCCCCCACCTGTGCAAATTCATGCAAAGGCCAGAGCAGGACTTCAGGCATCTTTCTGTTGCTTTCACCCTTCTTGTCTTGAGACTCTCTCTCACTGAACCAGAAGTTCGCATTTTGGTCTCTGCTGGCTGGCCAAATGAGCTTTTGGGATCTACCTATCTCTGTCTCCCAGTCCTGGGGTTACAAGCACTCAGAGCCAAGTGTGCCTTTTTGTCTGGGTGCTGGTGATTTAAGTTCAGGTCATGTGCTTATAGAACAAATCACTCTTACCCACCGAGTCTTCTCCCTAGTCCCTAGACAGTACTTTTTAAGGATTACAAAGTACAACTGCATATAGTATGATTCCAGTTCTGCAGAACATAAATTCATAAGATAAAGGAAAATTTTTAATCAAAAAAGTAGTCATTATCCTTGGGCTGTAGGATGACACTGATTTAACTGCATACTTTGTTTTGGAGTGACAGGGTTTTTTTTTTTCTGTCTAATATTACTTTACAATTACAAAGATTAGCTGGGCGTGATGGTACCTTTAATCCCAGCACCCAGGAGGCAGAGGTAAGTGGATGTCTGTCAGTTTCAGGCTAGGTTGGTCTACCTAGCAAGTTCTAGGCCAGCCGGGGCTACATGGTAAGGTGATGTGTTAAACAATAACAACACTTTAAAATATGAAGAAAATTAAGAAAATCATGTCTTTTTTTTTTCTTAAAGAGCACATTCATATAGACTTACATAGTAAAATATTTCCTGAAAATTTCTTTGTTAAGAAAGTGTGTTTCCATGCTGGTGAGATGGTTCAGTGGGTAAAAGTACCTGTTGCCAAGCCTGATGGCCTGAGTTCAATTCCTGGAGCACCCATGGTGGAAGAAGAAAACCAATTCCCTCAAGTTAGTCTCTGACCACCACACCTTTATGCAAGTGCACACAGACACACAGACACATCACACGTTGAAGAGAGGGATGAAGAGAGGGAAGGAGAAAGGAAGAAAAGCTGGCTTTTATAAAAATTTTAATACTGAAATATCACTTCTAAAGTGAAAAATTTATCTGTGTTGTACAGAAAGATCTCTTTGAAAATGGACTTTATTAGGTGCTAATACTGAACGTGTAGGTAGAACACCTAATCCTGAACATCTATTCCTTATGAAATTTAATCACATATTTAGAATTTTTTAACTTGTTTTATCTTTGAAGCTGTTCCCAAATGATAAAGGAAAAAGATAATGGGTCATTCATAAAAGATTTTTAGGCCAAGGGAGAAGGTACAAATAGCCATCTGTTTGGCTTTAGTTTTCACATGAACATGACAAATCATCTTTTCTAAGAACGAGCAGGAAAAAAACAAAGAAATGGGGAAATAAAACCTTATAGCATAGGGAATATAGGAAATACAATTATGTAGAATAAAGGCTGCTAAGCCGGAGTGAAAACGTGATACAACTGGAAGAAGTAAATTGAGTTTTCATCACCAGACATAGCCTTAAAGTAATGAGCTATTCAATCTAAATTAATGGAAGGAAATGAACAGGAAAAAAGTTCAGAATTTGGGGGGAGGTACAAATGGGATAGAACAACATACAAAGCATCATTTCCTAGAACTTTTTTTTTTTTTAATCTTTTTTTTACCACCATACCCAGCTGTAGAACATTTTTATTCAGGGTTTCCCATAAAATGTTTGATTGAACCATTTTGTCCACTTGTTTTATTTGAGATAGGGTCTCTCTGTGGCCCCAGCTGGCCTGGAATTCAATTATGTAGACCAGGCTGGTCTCCATCTCCCAGAGATCTGCCTGCCTCTGCCTCCCAAGTGCTGGGATTAGATTAAAGGTCTGTGCCACTACACCCAGACAAATGATATTCCACTACCTCTTCCTCCCTTCCTCCCTCCCTCCCCCCTCCCTCCCGCCTTCCTTCCTTTCTGCATATATATAAGTGCACCCATTTCATGCATTTGGAAGACGGTGTTGGGAATTGAACCTGGGTCCTCTGCAAGAGTAGCCAGTGCTTTTAACCATTAAGCCATCTCTCCAGCTCCCTCCACCGCCATTTTCCTCTGATTCAGATGATTTCTTTTTATTTGAAGGCATGCACCATGCACCTGCATCCTCAGATGAGTCCAATGTAATATTTTTTTCTTTGTGTTTTCTGTGTCTTTGAGACAATTACTCTGTAGTCCAGCTGGCCTCAAATATGTGATAATCCTCCTGCATCAGCTTTTCAAATGCTGGGATTATGGGCATAAGGCATTATGCCCAGCTTGTTCACATTTATAGACACAGCACTGTCATCTTTAAAACAGACAAGAAAATCTTTTTAAAAGATGTAGGTAAATTTTAAATTTTTGTTAATTGCTATTCAACGTATGGATAAAAGTATAATGCTGACTTGACATTATTTTGTATTCAAACAGGGATGACTGTGATAAATATGTTTTTCATATGCAAAAAAATGGTAAAAAATATTCCAAAAGTAAAGGTGGCCTAGTCTGGGGCAACATTAAGAAAAAAAAAGTAAGTATGTTTATTATTTATCTAACAAATACTACATGGTAAGTTGTGGTAGTTGTAAATTAGCAGTCTCCACCCTCCAAGATTTACAACCTAATCTAATATGAAGCTATGAACGAGATAAATACATAAATGCTATAGAATGATAGGTGACAGCTCCTAGACTGAATCTTTGGAGAATGGGTAAAAATTTCCATTTGGAAAATACAAGTTAGGAAAAGGCATTTTAAACAATTAAAAAATCCCCCCAAACCATGTTTTATCCAACAACTATGGATGAATCCAAACTGAGTTAAGATTTTCATAGAGTAAGAAATTTCATGCCATTAGTGGCAGCACTCGGGAAGCTGAGGCAGGCGGATCTCTGTGAGTTCAAGCCTAGCCTGGTCTACATAGTGAGTTCCAGGCCAGCTGGGGCTCAGGAAGACCCTGTCTCAAAAAAGACAAAAACAAAAAGAAATTTCTCTAGGTGTGGTAGCATACACCTTTAGTCCCAGCACTCAGGATGCAGAGGCGGGCAGATCTCTGTGAGATCAAGACACCAGCTTGGTTTCATAGTAAGTAACAGGACAGCTGGAGCTACAGGGAGACCCAGTCTCAAAAAAGACCAAAAAAAAAAAAAAGACTTTGAAACACTTTCATTTTTTTTCAGGTTCAGCTACTTAATTCTTTTTTAACATTCCAATATTTAAAATTTAAATACAGAAAAAGGTTACCCAAATAGTCAATTATATCACTTTACAAGAATCTCAGTGAAATTGGGAGTGTGGCTCTTTGGGTAGAGCACTTGTTTAGCATACCCAAGGGGCTTTGGTTCAATCTCCAGTACTATTTAGAAATTTAACCGGGCTTTGGGATACACATCTGTAATCTCAGCACTTGGGAGGTAGATGCCAGAGTGTTAGGAGTTGAAGTTCAACCTGGGTTACATGAAACTGACTTAAAAAAAACAAAAAACGTTTTTCCCCTTAGCCCCTTGAATTGCCTTTTTTTTTTTTTTTTTTTTTTTTGGTCCTTTTTTGAGACGGGTCTCCCTGTAGCCCCAGCTGTCCTGGAACTCACTTATGTAGGCCAGGCTGGCCTTGAACTCACAGAGATCCTCCTGCCTCTGCCTTCCGAGTGCTGGGATTAAAGGCGTGCACCACCACGCCTGGCAGCCTTTTAATTAACTTTTAAATTTCTGAACTTTTGAATAACAGATAATCAAGAATAAGTATTTAAGATTATATTAAAAAATTCATGGCCTGCATGGTGGCATTTAATCCCAAAGCTCGGAAGGCAGAGGCAGGTGGACCTCTGTGAATTCAAGGCCAGCCTGGCCTACATAATTCCAGGACAGCTGGGGCTACAGGGAGACCCTGTCTCAAAAAGACCAAAAAAAAAAAAAAAAAAGAAAAGTAATTCACTTCAGATTTCTTCAAAGTAGCTAATCTTAAAGCCAGGCTCACGTCTTTAATCCTAGAACTTGAGGAGCAAGTGGATCTCAGTGAGATGAAGGCCAGCCTGGTCTCCATAGCCAGTCCAGACCAGCTGGGGCTACAGGGAGACTGTCTTAAAAAGACTCCCCCCCTAAAAAAAAAAAGTAGCAAATCTTGGAAAATAATTTATGCATATGAATTGTGAGATTCTTTATCTCTGAAGTAATTTTCTTAAGCTTATTCATAAGAATGAGTATGGTGGCACATGCCTTTAATCCCAGCACTCAGGAGGCAGAGGCAGAAGCAGGCAGATCTCTGTGAGTTCAAGGCCAGCCTGGTCTACAAGGTGAGTTCCAGGCCAGCTGGGGCTACAGGGAGACCCTGTCTCAAAAAGAACCCCCCCCCCAAATCTATTGTTTCGTAATGAACTAGGCAGACTAGTTCTCAGTAATCCTTAAGATAGTTTTTCCAATCCTATATTCATTAATGAGAGATGGTGAAGTGGTTAGAAGCACTTGCTCTTGGCAGAGGTCCCAGGTTTGGTTTTCAGCACGTACATGGAGGCTCACAACTATTCATAACCAGTTCTATGGGATCTGTCACCCTTCTCTGGCCTCTGTGAGCACCAGGCATGCATGCACATGATGCACATACACGCAGGCAAAACACTCATAACATAAAAATCTAGAATTAACATTATTAGGGAGCCTTAGAATGGGGGTCTTCTATTTCCTGTTTTGTCAGTAGAGTTGTTTGCTTTCATAAAGTGCTGCAAGCCAGAGTTTCTCAAATTTAAATGTGCTTAGTTACTTGAGAATCTTAGGCGCAGATACTGATGTAGTAGACTTGAGAAATGGTTTGTTTTTTTCTTAATTTTATGTGTATTTGTGTATTGCCTGCATGTAGGTAAGTGCACCTGTGTTGTGCAGTGCCTATGGAGGACAGAGAGGCTGTCAGATCGCCTGGGACTGGAGTTTCAAACAGTTGTTAGCTGCCATGTGGGTGCTGGGATTCGAACCTGGGTCTTTTGCAAGAACATCCAGTGTTCTTAACCACTGAGCCATCTCTCCAGCCCCTCTGTTTTCTTTTTTAAATTTTATTTGTATTTTATTTATATGAGTGTTTTGCTTGCATGCATGGAAGTACCAGATGTGTGTCTAGTACCTGTAAGAGGCCAGAACTGGGCATCAGATCTGCTGGAACTGGAGTTAAGGATAGGTTTCAGCTGTCATTTGGTTGTTGGGAACTTAACCCAGGTCCTCTGTAAAAGCAGTAAGTACTCTTAATTGCTGAGCCCTGCCCAGCAATAATACATTTTTAATAATTTGTCATTCTGCTGACCCGTGGTCCATACTGTGCAGCAGACTAATGTATTCAGTTATTTTCTCTGCTAAGTTAGAGGTCATTATGAATAGATCTATGAGTCCTTCCTATTAGAAACACATTTTTCTGTATTTCTTGGTTCTCGAGTTTTCTTTTTCTTAACAGGTTGTAACTTGAGCAGTCTGTCAAACTGTAATACTGTGATGTACACATACTTGTAGCCAATGTGTTAGGATGGAAAGAGCAAAGAATTTTGTTTTAGAAGTATTCATTTCAAGGTCTGATTCCTGATGCCAGCCTCATTACACTGAGAAAGCTACTAGTTTTCTAATCTGTATTGGCTGCATCAGAATGACATCAGTTTGTTACCAAATGGTTTTGAAGAATAAGTGATGTAATAACTGTCTCATATAATTGATATTGATAAAATATTCTAACCCAAGATACTAATTATTTAAGTGATGTAAGTACTAAGTACACTATTCTTTAGCTGTTATAGCATTAGTTTACAGTAGCTAAATCATGGTTTTGCTCTGGATAAACTCAGAAGAGAATTAGTCAACCTAGTGGCTAAGTTTTGAAACAAGCCTATGTTCAAAGTACTCTAGTGGTAAAGCATAATTGAGAAGGCAACAAGGGAGATAGTGCTTTAATACTAACACGAACTCTTTCATAGGTTGAAACTGGTATCTCAACTCCAAAACCAAGAAGAAAAGCCCTGTTTAACAAAGGTAATATAATTCCTTCTTTCATAACTTAGTTCTGTTACAGGTCTTTTTTAATGATACTAAAATTAACTGACTCTCAGGTAAACAGACCTGCCTTTAGCTTCTTGGAGTTGTTTTCTGTTTCATTGAAATCACTTGGAAATTAACCCTTTTTATTAAATTTGTCTTTACAGATTTAGATGAAAACTCTGGTATGGGAAAACTTTTCACTGATGTCATGGAATCAGATGAAGAGGAAAAAGATGAATATTTTTCATATTCTGACTGATGAGAAAATATGGGTTATAGAATCCTTACCATAAAGTGTGTATTTATATCTTTATTTGGATAGGGATTTGTAATTAGCTTCATGGAAATACTTTTTTTTTCCAAAGGTGCCTTCTGTTTGTATGCAAGGTAAAATATTCTATAGAGTATTACTCATTGCTGCAGCTTACTAAAAATAAGATTAAAATTTTTCCTGTGTAAATATTTGTAAATTTGTTTTTTTAATATTAAAGTACATAAAGTCTTTTATGAGTGCCTGTTTACTTTAGTAATCATGTCTCAAGTAGATTTTTAAGTGACTTTGTTTTAATGTGCTACCCTAGGGGATGAGTGATAAGGGAGATGAAAGAGCTTGGATTGGTGAACACTGCATTAATAAAAACTTTAGCATTTTACCACCTGGTGTTATAAGCTGCAGTGAGTCCATTGTTTAAATTCCATTATTGAAACTGATGTTTTTTATTTTCTCCTGATAATTTTCCTTAAAATATACCCTAAGTTGGTCTGTCTGTTAAGTCTGTTTAAAATTCATTGCTTTTCTATTATATAAAGTAGAACCAGAAAGCAGGTTGTTATATCCTGCAGTTTTATTCCATATAGTTGAAAGATCCAGGATTATAAGGAATTAGTATGTCATAATAAATGTCTTTTCTGATAGTTCCATTAGAAGTAAACTTTTATTCTGCCATTGTTAAAGTTTGACATGTTATTTTTCTTCTAGTACACTACACTTATCTACACTTACCAGTTAAATTGCTCAAATAAAATTTTAAATTTGTGTAGTACAAAAGGCGGTCTTTTTGAGACAGATCTCCCTATAGCCCTAGCCGACCTGTAACTCAATACATAGACCAGGAAAGTGAGGCAGGAGGACTGCAACTTTGAGGCCAGCCTCGGCAGCAGCACTTGCTGCTCTTGCAGATGACCTAAGTTTGATTCCTAGCATCCATGTCAGGCAGTTCACAATCCCTGTAACTCCAGCTCCCAAGGATTTGATACCTTCTTCTGGCCTTCCTGGGCACTTGCACTTACCTGTACACATACATACATACATAATAAAAATATAGAAGTGTCAGGGGGAAGCTAGAGATGGCTCAGTGGTAGAATGCTTATCTACCATGAATGAGACCCTAGATTTCAAGCCCCCATTAATGCCCCCACCCAAAAAAAAGATTAACCAGTAATAACCAACAATTACTGGTAGCATTAGGATAAAAAGGAAAAAAAAATAATAAGTGTCCCTAAACAATACTGTTACAGAACTTGAGTTGTCAATATTTAAGATACTGCTATGCTGGTTGAGGTAAGTAGTGTTTTTAAAGATGGCCACTTCATAATAGAAAACAAAAACTTTGAAATGGCATAGACTTGTCTGGTTGTTACCCAATTCCTTGTAATCTAAATTCCTTCAGTATCTGATCTGTTCTATCCCTCTTGCCACGTACCACTTTTATTAAGTCATTGGATATGCTAATAAGAATGTTTAAGTAGAACTTAAACATTGAAAAATAAAAGAACAGGCTAGAGAGATGGCCCAGTGGGCCATCAGTTCCCAGCACCCACATGGTGGCCAACAGCTATCAGGAAGTCCAGTTCTAGGGGATCTGACACCTCTTCTGACCTCCGTGGGCATTACATGACATGAGCGCACTTACATAAAAGGTAATAAAAAAATTTTTTTGAAGGTTGATCCTTAAAAGACCAAGTCAAGGGCTGAAATAACAGAATCATTTGTTCATCAATAGAGTTACTAGCTAAGGTTCAAATGCAGTTGTAGGAGGCAAGTCCAAAGTAATAAAGGGAGCTCCGTTAAGTAAGTTGCAAACAATGATGCCTTGTTTCTGCAGGGTTTTTTTTTTTTTTTTTTTGGTCTGATGAGAGGACCATCTGAGCCTACGGTTGTTTGGTGGTGTTGGGGGGGTACTGAAAGGTCAGTGTAGGTCAGTGTGAGGGCCTTACATGTAGGTGGGTTAGAGTATTATGGGAGATCCCTACTCCTGGGTGCAGAAGTGTGGAGCAGTAAGCACAGTGGAACCAGTAAGAAAGGCTCTGTTCCTCTGACAAAGCTTGGGATCGTGTTCCTTATAAAGGAGAAATGCTTCTTTTCAAAAAAAACCCCAGTGCTGGAGAGATGGCTCAGTGGTTAAGAACACTGATTGGTCTTGCAGGAGACCTGGGTTCGAATCCCAGCACCCACATAGCAGCTAACAACCGTCCATAACTCCAGTTCCAGGGAATCCAACAGCCTCTTCTGACCTCCGCAGGCACTGCACAACACGGGTGCACTTAACCTACACAAAGGCAATACATGCATACACACAAAAAAATAAAAATATTTTAAAAAAAAACTAACCATAGTGGAGTAGGTAGTATAGGTGGTTTGTCTCTGAGGTATTTGTTCTTGGGGCTGTTTCTAGATTTGCCAGTCTAAATATGAACAAATCATTTGTTCCTGGGCCTCACTTTTGTGATACAAAAAAGAAAAGTTGGATTAGGTAAGTTTTAAAGCCGCTGTCACATGTAAGGTGAGGAGAACTCTTCTAACTGGTTCAGCTACCCAACAGGAGAAATAAAATCTTGTAAATTATGGAGGAGGGGAAAGCCTACAATTAACAACCATTTCTTATCAGTATGAGACTGACTAGAGGACTTAGTACTTGGAGACATTGCACTTAGAAACAGATCCAGCTTAAGATATTAATGGCATCAAACAATGCAACAGCTCAAAACAAAAATTCCTGTTAATATTGGACAGTACACATATATGGTGAATGTGATATATTCACTTAAATTTTCTACCTTCTTAGTCATTAGATCATTTCTCTAACAACACATCTATCACCAACACTTTACCCAGGATATATTAGATTCAGTAATACATTTATTGTCTTTAAGGTTTTATTTTTAATTGTGTGTCTTTGTGGTTATGTACATGTGTGCAGGTGCTCTAGGATGCCAGAGATGTTGGATCCCCTGGAGCTCGAGTTAGAGACAGTTGTGAGCAGCCTTATGTGATGTGGCTGCTGGGAACAGAACTCGGGTCTTCTGCAAGAGCAGTTCATGTTCTTAACCTGAATCATCTCTCCAGACCCTAGACTCAGTACATTTAAACTACTGATATTACAGTTTATATACAGTAAAAAGTTTGCAGCACAGATACTGTTATACTAACAAATAGCTGTAACTTATTCTTGGAAAAATTCCAAAATCTTTTCTTTTTAGATTTTTGAGACAGGGTCTTGTTTGTAGCCCAGACTGACCTTAACCTCATGAGCCTACTGCTTTGGCCCGCAGAGTGCTGGGATTACGGGTATATACCATCATGTCCAGTTGCCCAGCTGACTTTTCTGTGTGTGAGCACACACTCATGTACCTGCCTGTAGCACAGCTATTTGTAGAGGCTGGAGATCAACTCTGGATATCATCTATCACTGTCATCTTTACTTTTTTAAAATGTATATGAGTGTTTCGCCTACATGTATAGAAGTACCATGTGTATACAGTGCCCACAGAAGCCAGAAGAGGGTATTGGACTGGAGTTACAGATGGCTGTTACTGCCATATGGGTGCTGGGAACTAAACTCGGGTCCTCTGCAACAACAGCCAGTGTCCTTAACCATTGAGCCATTTCCCCAGGCCTTGACTGACTTTAATACTTAAACTATATTCAACAGCACCTTTCCCACAACCTTGATTTATTCAATTAAAAACTTGATTCATAATCTAGTCAAAGTGATTATGGAACATCAAAGATTTACTTTTTTAAAAATAAATTATACAGTCTGTATAAATAAATGTACACAATATAAAATGGTATCTTTAACAGATATGGAAATACTTATTTACATATTTTAAACTGGTAATTACAAGCTACAATGATTGAAGTGCACTTGGTATTGTGAGAGTTCTTTGATAGCCGCACTTTAAGCACTTGTTCATGAATCAGATTTCAGTCTACCCTGGTTAAGATCATTTGGTAACATTTGCATGTCAAATATGTAGTGAATATATCCATAGATCTCTGCAGCCTTTTGAGGATTTACTTGTGCATAAGTGGAGATTTCTTCAGGTGAGCTGAAGGAAAAAAGAAAAAGTATAATGAAACTTCTGACTTTTATAAAACTTAATATTTTTCTATCATGCCTTGGGATAGGGATGTTATAGCTCGATGGTAGAGCACTTGCCTAGCAGATATGAGGCACCCTGGGTTCCATCACTAGCACAATCTCAATCATCTCCTAAGCATTATGTACCCAGGTAACCTTGTTTTCTTTATTTTAAATGATTTATAGTAGCAAAAAATTCACATCTGCAATGGAGTAAATATCTATCATGTTCTAAAATATTCATGTGTAGGGACTTGGCCCCAAGATTAGACCTTTGAAAGGTAGGGAATTTGGGGAATTGGGCAACTAGGGTGTGCTGATTAGTTTTTATTATCAACCTGACACAACCTAGAGTCACCTGGGAAAAGGGACCCTCAACTGAAGAACTTCCTAGATCAGATTGTGGGGCCATGTCTAATGAGAAATTGTCTTGACTGACGATTAATGTGGGAGGGCTTGGCTCACAGTGGGTAGCACCACCCCTGGGCAGGTGGGCCTGGGCTGTAGAAGAAAGCTAGCAAAGGAAGCAAAAGAACAAGCCAGTAAAGCCTTCCTCCAGTTTCTGCTGGTTCCTGCCTTGAGTTCCCTCTGATGAATTATGACTTGGAAAATGTAAGCCAAATAGACTCTTTTCTCCCCTAAGTTACTTTTGGTCAGAGTTTTATCACAGCTACACAATGAAACTAGGTCAGAAGGGCACCTGGCTTAAAAATCACTCCACATACTTCCCCCATTGCTATCCATGCCAAGAAGAAACAGCCAAGGCATAGCCCGTGGCCACATCCTTCTCTATAATGTTCAAAACCGTTAAAACTTGATAAGTAGGTTGTGCTTAATAAGGATGCAAAGATGATTAAATACAAGCTGGGTTTGGTGGCACGTGGTTGTAACTGGGATACATGTATGACCCTGTCAAAAAAAATTTTTTTTTAAATTTAATACAGGTGGTAGTTGGATGTAGGGCCCAGCTAGTTCTACCATTTAACTAAGGAGTTTGCAATCTAGAAAAGGGCCCTTGGAAAAGCATTTCCAGTCTCCAAAGCTAAGATACCTTATTTAGGCCTTTAAAACAATCCTGGTGTTCTAAAATCTTGTTTTTCAAGCAGTAAGTATAATGACGGAGAACTAGGACTGGGAGTGTAGCTCAGTGGCAGAGCACTTGCTTAGCATGCTGAAGCCCCTGGGCTTGATCCCCTGAACCACAAAATAAAGTTTAGAGTTACAGTTAAAATGTATTGTTTATTGCCTATCTCCCCCACAGAGCACAAAGCTCATTAAAGGCATTGCCTAGACCTTTTACTTTTTTTTTCTTTTGTGTTTCCTGCTTTTGCCTCTTAAACACTAGAATTACAGAATGTGCCATCATGCCCAGTTTTAACCCATCTTTACTAAATAAAATAGTATTTCTTAATTTAAAAGAAAACGGGGCTAGAGAGATGGCTCGTACTCAAGAGCACTGTCTGCTCTTGCAGAGGACCCAGGTTTGGTTCCCAGCATCCATAGGTGGCTACGTGTCTGAAACTCCAGTTCCATATACCAGTGCACTGACATGCACGTAGTCAATACACATAAACATACACATAAATAAATTTTTAAAAATTAAAAAAGGAAAAGTGTTCTCAAGAACTTATTAAAATAGGAGAGCTCTGCAGTGAAGTAGGCAAGAGAACAGACTCAGTCCATCTGGAAACCCTCCACGCTGGCTGGCCTGCCTGCCAGATAAAGCTGCCCAGGAGAGCAGAAACTGCAAGGGAAGTGTTCCTCACACACACTCAACCTGCAGGGACCAGAACAGGCCACTGTGGAGTGCAGAGGTCCCAGGGAATAACCAAGAACAGTATGCAGAGATCAAGGACTCCCACTCACCCTTCTGCACAGCATCACACGGAGCCTGCTAGAACCCGAGGAATTTAAGAAATTCCCCTTTCAGCTCTGCAGATGTGCCAGCATTCTTTCCTACTTCTGTTATTTAGCTTCTACTCTTGTATATATGTCTCATGGTTTTGCTTTTGTTTATATATTGTTCAGTTACATTTTAGGACTGTTTGCCTCCCCACCTAGTCTACTGGGAGGTATTCTTGGTTTACTAGGAGTGCATTCTTCAGCCACATTCCTATATCCTTTCTTCCTGTCATCAGTAGCCCCTCTCTAACTTAACAGAGAACCTTCCACAGCTTTAACAGTCTCTAAAATCTGTGAGCCCTAACAGGATCCCAACTTTGCCTTTACCCACCTTGATTTTTTTTCTCTTCCAAGTTGATCTGAAACTTTAATCTTCACCCTTATATATTACTTCCTGCCCCGTCCTAATCTGAATAAATAAATCTGAGTATATAACCCATACTATCCTTGGTTGTTATTCTCCAACACTTAGGAACTGCCTCCTACCACTTGCATAGTGGTAATATCAAGCAGCTGAGGTTGCTCTCCCAGGAAACACTGTACTGGAATAACACAGTTTACAGAGTTTACACGGGACACTCTGAGCTCCTAGACTGAGAAACTATTTTCTGAACTATACACTCAACTCTTACTACACTCAAATCCCATGTGAACACTGCAAATACTTCAAATGAAAGAATATAGCTGATAAAAATAAATCATGGAAAGAATATCAGATGCATAAACATAAATGTGTGAGAAACAAGAAACACTAAGAACTCCTCCAAGAATTATTAATCATACAGTGATGGCACCCAGAAAGAGTGGGTTAGATGAAATTTCAGACATAATGTAAAAGAATGATTATAAATAAAAAAATAAGCTCCTTATTGAGAGCACAAGCAGCTGAGTGAAATAAGGCAATGCAAGGTGCAAAATAGGACTTCAACAAAGATAGAAATAATGAAGAAAAACCAATTGGAAGAGCTAGGAATGAAACATGTAACAAGTCAGATAAGCTGTGGAAAGTCCGCAGTAGTGTGGATCAAAAAGTGTGGATCAAAAAGTGAGGACAATATCTGAGCGGGAAGACGGTGGAAGAACTGAAGCAGGACAGCAAAGATAAATAAGGTGCCAGTGGGATTCCATGGTAGTCAAGGCACTGCGAGACAGCAAATGGGTAACAGGTATAGAAGAATCTGTTTCTAAAGGCATAGAAAACATTTTTACAAAAATCCTAGCAGAGGGGCTGGTGAGATGGCTCAGTGGCTCACCAAGCCTGACCTGGGACCCTCACGGAGAGAACCAACTGCTACAAGCTGTCCTTGCACCTCCACATGTACTTTGTGGCAGGTGAGGGGACGGACACACACACACACACACACAAAATAATACTAAAAGGTTTTAACAATAAGAGCAACCATTTAAAGATACTAAAGTAGACATACCTGTTAGCCATCTTTTTCACAGATGAAAACTGGTGGCACATATTTAATGCAGTTATATAGCTTATATTGGGAATACTTAAATAAAACTGAAGTGTCTCACATTTACTGCTATTCAGCATTGCTGGAACATGAATACCAACATTCTTTCTTTGTTCCACTAAAGACAGCTCCTTTAGTAAATCTGCAGTTTCTTCTTGGCCAGAGCTGAAAAGAATCCGGATTCCAGCACCAACTAAGGTGGTCAGCAGACTATCATAGCACTTTGTTCTTCTAAAGATCCTTGATGTGTCTCCTAAGTGTTTCATATTCAGGGAAAATATAAAGGTTAGTGACTAACACAGAACAGTACACACATTATTACCTAGGAAAACTAGGTCAGAAGGTTCATTAGATTATCACATTAAGTAATAAGGATCATTTACCCCAAAGACTGAAGAAATACCTGCAGGGCCTTTTAATGTCGCCTCATCACTCTCTACCTTCCCTGTTCACTTTTTCATACTCTGTTACATTCTTTTGCTGTTGTTATTATTTTGCTTTCCCCATTATAAGTTCCCCATAAAGGTATTTTTCCATAACTTCTGCCATGTTACTTTCCTCTTTGTTTAAAATCTGTTTTCTGCAGCCTTCATTTCTTAAATGAAGGGGGAAAAAGTTCATGTGATCCACCAGAATCAGGATGAGGGATGAAAACACTCCCCAATTTCCAATGTATTATACAAACCACTATTTCCTTTTACTTTTAATTCTTTCCTACTCCTAAATATCTGATTCTTTTCTTTCTGCCCCATTGCTGCTCTGTTTAAGGCTTCCATTCTTTCTGAGGTTCCTGGAAAAGTACTATGATTGGTTCACTTTAAGTTTCTCATCATCCAATTTTCCTAAGCCTCATTAAAATAAAATGACCAATGAAAAGCATAATGGTATTAAGTGTGAAATGACACACCCAGACAGAAGAATTAAATTATACTCAGATTAGTTTAGTCTCATAAACAAACCTGCTTTTTAATACAAACCTGCTTTTTCTCTGTCTTTTTCTACAATCACACATATTCTTTGAAACATGCTCTGTAGGTGCTGGATCTGGTCGATGAACTTGTTCTTATTGGCATTACTTAACATCTCAGACTGGGACCTCCTTTCCACTACCATACGGTTACTCACAATGTAATCACAGCCATTAAGAGGACAAACCTCTACTTGTAACCCATGAACTGTTCTTAGGGAAGAAATCACTTCTAAGCCAGAAGTGATTTCACGACTGTCTACAAGAATACAAGCTCTTTTTCCTGCTTGTGGAAGTCTAAGGGCTGTATGTGCTTCAGCCAAATGTGGTGGTGAGTTAGAACAGGGTGTCCCTGAGGTGCCATGGTCCTCCAGATCATCAACCTGAAAGAGAGGGGAAAACACTGATCACAGTCCTGCCAAATATGCATGGTGCTGTGACCACCTTGCATCTGATGCTGATTCTCCTGAAAATGTTCATTACTTTCCCTTCACTTTGACCAAAGTGACTGTAGATAAAGGAATAAGCCACCACTTAACAATACTGTAGAGTTATAGTTAACAATAAAAGAGTAGTAAGACGTAATGAAACAGGATGAACTGAAAGCAGCAGGGAAGAAACTAAATTTTCAAAGCAAAATATTTTTAGACTAGAGAAAACAATGTTTAAACAACAAGCTGAAAGCAGATTCAACGGAATGTGCCTGAGAAGCAAATGTTCCAAATTGCATGTTTTGGTTTCTTTTGTGGTGGTATAGTAACAGGGTTTAATCCAGGGCCTCATGCATGCTAGGCAAGTGTTCTGCCACTAAGCTATACTCCCAATTCCTTTTCTTTTTGGAGTAGGGTACTAAGGGTTTGGTACTACGGACTGAACCTAAGGCCTCCCACATGCTAGGCAAGTACCGTACCAATGAGCCATATTTGAAGCCCAGTAACACTTTTTAATCTTTTTTTTTTTTTTTTTTTTTTTAATTTTGCCTTTAATACCAGCACTCAGGAGGCAGAGGCAGGTAGATCTCTGTGAGACTAAGGCTAGCCTGGTCTACATATTGAGTTCCAGGTCAAGTGGAGTTACAGGAAACCCTTTTCAAAAAAAAAAATTATTACTGAGTATGTGTGCATGCACAAGCATACATGCATGCCATGATACATGCATGGAGGTCAGAGGACAACTATGGAGTCAGCTCTCTCCATCCACATTCACGTAGGTTCTGGAGATCAACATTGGTTGCCATGGTAGTGCCTTTACCTACTGAATCATCAAACTGGCCCTTGGTACCTTTGAAAAAAAGGGGATTTAAAAAAAAATGTGTTTATGTGTACCTGAATATATGTATGTGGACCACATGCACGCTAGTATCTGCATTTGATTCCCTGGAACTGGCGTAACAGGTGGTTGTAAGCTGCTGGACATGGATGGTGGGAACTGAACCTGGGTGTTCTGCAAGAGCAGCAAGTGCTCTTAACTGCAGAGCCATCCTTCTAGCCCCACACTAACATTTTAAAAAAGTATTTTGCAGCTGGGCGTGGTGGTGGAGGCAGAGGCAGGCGGATCTCTGTGAGTTCAAGGCCAGCCTGGTCTACATAGTGAGTTCCAGGACAGCTGGGGTTACAGGGAGACCCTGCTTCAAAAAGACAAAAAAAAAAGTATTTAGAAGTTGAGGATGTAGCTCACTGTTAGAACATGTGACTAGCATATGCAGGCCCAGGGTTCAGATCAATTACTGGAAAGAAAACAATAAACACATGACTGGCTGACAGGAAAGGAACTAAAGCACAGAGGTCAGAAACAACAATAAAAGTGAACAGCAAGCCCCAATCTTAGTCAAAGAATTATTGGCAGCTGATTACTTCTTGGTGAGGAAGGAAGGGCTGATCCTCTTGAAGGGAAAGATTCTAGATAGGCTGACTGAACCCCGGAGCATGAACTTGCACTGAGACATCTCGGGACACTAACTTTACATAATAGGCCTTAACACGAATGACAGACTGTATGAATTCCAGTGGGGGGAAGGGGGGAGCTAAGGAAGGGTGTCAAAGGGGAAGGAGGAAGAGAGCGTAAAGATGATTTTATGTAGGAAATACACAAAAATTCAAAAAAGAAAAACAACTAAGAGTCCTGGAAGCTAATCAAGCCAGAGAAATCCCAAATCCTTATCAAAGCATGTGTCAAGTCCTGCTGAGAATGAGCTCCTTATACAGCAATGCAGTGTTCGAGTAACACGCATGGTACTCAAAAAATGAAAAAAGTTAAACATTTAGTATAGAAATAAATCTACTCAATAAAGGAAGAAAGCACGAACCATTGAATTTTGACATTTGACACTGTCCAGTGGGAATCTTCTTAAAATTCACATCAACAGCCTTCCAGTCCCATGACTTAAAGCCAAGGTTCCATACATAATACCTACATGACTAACAAAAACCTCCAACTAATACCTTGTGTTGGGAGAAAAGAAATGCAAATGGTCCTATGAGCCACACATGGACAGAATGGTATGAAAACTTTGCTATGACAAGAAAAATGCCAACTTAGAACCATGTATGTAAATACCACTTCTCACTACATTGTTACATTCTCTTGAGACTGAACAATCAGGAATTCTTCCACATTCCTGGTAAGAACAGGGGATGGAAAGGAGGGGCAGAAACTGTGTGAAGAAGTTAGAGAACTGGCATCACTGCATGTGCAGCTGCCATTATGACGACTCCATAGAACCCTTCCTAAAGCTTCACTGGCAAAAGACAAGAGGGTATGTATGCACATGAGTATACTACAGGGCTGATTAATGGCATGATGGTAGGCACCTGTGCCAGCATGCTGAGGTAGGAGGATCACAGGTTAGGACAGCCTGTGCTACAGAAAACCCCAGCCCCAAAGAACTGTCTCAAAACACCAAGGGCTAGAGATGAGCTCAACTGTAGAGCACTAGGCTTGATCTATGACCACAAACAAACAGAATGAAAGATGAGAAATGACCTAATATGCATCAATTTGGAATGGCTAAAAAATTATGGCATAATCATACAATAAGGATTATAAAGCTCTAAAAAGTAATATATATCTAGTATAGAATAAACCCTAGGATGGATATTTAAGTGAAAAAGCAAAGGATGGAAAAATACGTACTGAATGCTATTATCTACTTAAAGGATATTAAAAATATAACTGTACCCACATATGTATTTCATAGAGTGGAGAAACAAGCCTTACCTTTAACAAGAGTGAAGGGTATAAAAACAGAAGCCACATACACTACTTTGTGTTCATTTTAATTTGGAACTGTCTACAGAACTTACATAATAAAATAAATTTTACTTTAAAAGGATTTATGAAAAATAAAATGAAATAAATTAACCCGAATCAAATATCCAGATGATAGAGCAGTAATTACTAAATATAATTTGTAAAGAATTATGGATTCTTTGGGCTGGAGGGATGGCTCAGTGGTTAAGAACACTGGCTGCTCTTGCAGAAGACCTGGGTTTGAATCCCAGCACCCACATGTCAGCTAGCAACTCTGGTTCTGTAACTCCAGTTCCAGGGGATCTGACAACCATCTTCTGTCCTCCATGGGCACTGCACGACACCGGTACACTTACATACATGCAAACAATACACTAATACATAAAAATAAATTTTTAAAAACTAAAAAGAGCTCTCCTACCCACAGGCCTCTCTCCGGGGTAAGTCCATTGCGCCCTCCCGCACCGTGACTCCCCCAGCCTCATTCACCCTCGCATCTCCACCTCTGTTCTCTCCTCGGAGTTTGGGCCCTGCCCCATTCCTTGTCTTGGGGACCCAGACACCTGGGGAACCAATAAGGCTTCCAGATCCTTTTCATCCAATGTAGTGCCTTCTCTAGGCCCCAGGAGCACTGCTTCTGGGCCTGGCCCCGCCCTCACCTCCCCCTGCTTCCCTGGGCCTGCACCACCCACCAGCCTCTTTCTGGGACACTGGGGATGACCTTTCCTCTTCCTGATCCTTTGCATCCAGACCAACCCAGCTCCTCAGTGCAGTCCCCAGGAGGCCTTGGGGCCTCTTCCTGCCCCATCTTCCTTTGTATCTCTGGGTGGCATGGCCACGGCCACCAGCTGCCCTAAACCAGCATCTTTCCTGGGCCAGGCTCACAGGCCAGTCAACCCTCCAAATTCCTGAGGCCAAAATCGTTCCTGCAGGGATCCAGACCTTAGGAGAAAGCCTGAAAACATCTGACCCTCACCTGAATTGGGCCTCTGTGGGAACTAATGAAGACAAAATCAATCTGGCCACTCCAATATAAAATCAAAAGAGAGAACCGGAA